ATACCGCGAGAGGTACGGCATTTTTGATCTTTTCTGTTTAAATCTCTTTCACAGAATTCCGACCCAGACTTGTCAGTGATAAGATACGACGAGGTCCAAACACTGGTAGCCCCAACTATGTCGAGAAATATTATCCTAACATAGCATCTCCTTACCGACCGCCGAGATGGCCCTGATAATATTTGAATACTGCGATACCGAAAAAAAAGCTTTTTCAGGCCAATGAAAGAGCGCGAGCAAGCGAACAGAACATCAAACCGGGCTGCGTTATAGATAGACATCTCGTCCATCCGCGTTATTGTGAATTTTATTTGAATTCCCACAAGGCACTTCAGGTCTCGTGTTTTTTCGTCGTTTTTTTTTCTAGCCAGTTAATTTTTTATTCGATTATGCGATGAAGTCAGCAGAAATGCTTATGGTGAAGATCATGGTGCATGTGTATGTATGTGTTTTTGGTTTGTGCGTGTCTGCGTATTTGTGCGTCTGTCCAGCTATTTAATCTTCGCAATCAAACATGTGCGAATCAGAAGTTTTAAAATTTTTTTCCTAATGGAGGTCTAGTCTTCGCAGACGGACAGGTGAAAGTTTTGACGGGGAAATTGCTAACCCGAGCACTCGAGAAGCTAGGACGGTGTTTTTCTGCCCGTGAACGGCGCGGTAAAACTGAAGCTCAGTTTCCACCTATTTTTTATGCGTTTTTTGCTGTGTAACAGCACTACAAAATGCATATTGTCACGGGATTGTCTGTGTGTGTGTTCGCAGCAACTTGTCCGCAACTTTCAACTCGGGAACCACAAAAGCTAGGAAGCTGACACCCACGTGTGACACTGCAAATTCAAATTCAGCCTTCCCGCACCCGCGGGTAACACGTATGGTCCCGTGAAAGTTTTTTACGGGTAAATTAATATCTCGGGAACCACAGAATCTATGAGGCTGAAATTTTAGGGTAATGGCCCCCTGCCCTCGCTGAACCTTGCCTATTCAAATTCAGCGTTCCCGCGCTCTTGAGTATCATCTACGGCCTCGTGAAAATTTTGGCGGGTAAATTATTAACTCGGGAATCACGGAAAGATATTCACCTTTCAAGGTTTCGAATTCAGCTTCCATGCGCTAGTGCGTGAGATTTTTAACTGTTTTCTAATGTTTGAACTATTTTTGCATAGACTAAAGCACAAAGCAGTAAAAATCGTTAATAGGCAATTGTTCGATGGGCTGAACTGCAGAAAACGCATGATTGCACCGGCTAGTCTGGTGCGCGTTGCTGTTTATCATATTTGGAGGAACACATGAAATTTGAAATCTCACACTTCCTCAGCTCTGCAACTGGACAAGCTAAAAACTTGAAACTTTTTCCTCTGTAGTTCTTCAGCGTACCTGTGTCTTAACTTGCGCTACAATATCCATACATCCTCGCGTCTCAAAACGAAAAATCCTATTTCGCTGTAATAAAAAATTCTGAAGTGGAATTGCTATTTCGTCAAATAGGCATTTTAATTGGTCGCACCAGCTACTCTTGTTCGCGCCATCATTCATTTCAAATATATTATCACTCCATAAAGTGTCTGGGGTGGGTTAAATAAAATTGCCTTTCAGCGATAGTGATTGGGAAG